GACAAAAAAAAGTTTTCAGGGTCTTCTGCTATTCAATCCCTTGTAAGAAGACCATAAATTTTTACCGACACATGCCCACACATTCACGAACCCATATACATATATATATATATATATATATATATATATATATATATATATATATATATATATATATATATATATATATATATATATATATATATATAAAATTTTCTTTTTTAAAGATGCTAACATCGTGGCACAGAAAATTTCCATGTTTCAAAACTGAAACTAACTTTATAAATTTAATTATAAAAACTAAACTTAAAATCTATAGTCTCGTTCCATTGTCAAGCGACGTTAGGGATAAACTTTGAAAGAGAGATACCATCTTTATTTATTAAACATTTAGTTTGAGGACTATTGGCTAATATATAGTGTTTTTTTTCTAAGTGTAGCGTACATATATGAACAAGGCCGAAAGTATGGAGAAGCCAGTGATGAACGCACTAATTTTTCAGTCGTAGATGATTTAGCAATGCAAGGTTGCTAAACACTTTTTTCCCACAAGGATGGGCTATTAGATATATATATATATATATATATATATATATATATATATATATATATATATGTATGTGTGTGTGTGTGTATATATATATATATATATATATATATATATATATATATACATATACATACATACAAACAAAACTATATATATATATATATATGTGTGTGTGTGTATTTGCGTGTGTGTTTGTGTTTTATAAATTTTGAAAATTTGTGTCAACAACAACTGGGGCAGATATTTCATGCTTGGAGGTAATCTTCACGTTAAGCATCGAGGTCAATCATGAAACAGATTGTCGCCACCCTGTGTTGACATGAATGTCCACTATTCTTACATTTGTACAAGGTCTATTCATGATTTTAATTTTTTATCCCATAAATAGAGCATAGTTCCTTCCTTATGCTAACACATACCTAAACATTGAAATATATATATATATATATATATATATATATATATATATATGATAAAAAGCGTTAAACACTAATATTCCATGGTCATAATTTATTCCATTGGAATCGTAAATACGCTCCAATTCATCAGACCTACAAATTCAAAAAGAAAACAGAAAAAAACAACTCCGGAAATAAAAATAGATTTTAGAGAGAGTGTAAGTATGAGAGTGTGGGACGAATGTTAGAGCCAAATAGAGGGGTAACAGACGAAAGAAGGTGGGAGATTAAACCTTAACATAGAGAAGTTTAGGAGAGGTGAGTGGAAGTGGGAAATATGAATGTTGTCGAATGTCTAATACATTAAAGATACATTTCGTAGTGACCTTACACACACCATAGACGATCTAATGTTAAAGATCAGAAGAAGAGGGAGGGAGAGGAAAGAAAAGAAGAAGGGGTGGGGGAGAGAGATGGGACGGGGGAAACTAAAAATGAAGGGCATTTACTGAAAGGGCCGCTGTGTAATTAAGAAAATTTGACAAAATTAATATCGACTACAGGTAACAAATCAAATATAAACATATAAAAATAAATATAACGATTATCTAATCTAGCAAGAAACTATATTTTTATGTTCAAAAACACATGCGAATACACACAGACACAATAACATATACACGTATATACATACACATAGGCGTGCACCGACATACACACATACATATACCCATGTACACACATACAGATATATCCACATATCCACACAAATACGCACATACACATACACACACACATATATACATATACATATATACATATATGTGGTTCAATATGTTAGCTCTATCTCTGATACTGAGCGCTTTCTAATAAGTACCACGCATATAATATACAAATAATTACACACACACACACATATATATATATATATATATATATATCCACCCACTTTTCACATACATGTACATACATACACACGCATATATACATACACACACACATATATATATATACACATGCATACACATATATACACATATACATATACATACATACACACATATACACACATATATACATTCTCACATACATATATGTACATACACATACAAACACACACATACATATATACATATAATACATAAATACACACACACATACATACATATACACATACATCCATACGCATCCAATCCTTCATATATATACACATTTACACACATATATACATACGGACATACGCATACGTGCACATGAACATATATACATAAAACCTTACATCTCCATACAATTACATACACCCATCTAAACAAATAAACAATGTATCCCTGTATCTATCCGTCTAACTATACATACGTACATATATTCGTACATATACACCCATATACAGATATATATGCGTACATACATACAAAAATATACACACACATATACACACATCTACATATACATCCATCTACATATACATACATGCATATATATGTATACATAAACATACATATACATATATACGCATACATATGCATATACATCAATACATACACATACATATACCGATATACGCACCTACATATATACACATATACACACACAGCTAAGCACTCACACACACACACACACACACACACACACACACATATATATATATATATATATATATATATAAATTAAAATATACTATTTAAATAAGTAAAATTTCGAAAATTTGTGGGTAAAAGTATATCCTTACTCTGTCCTGGACATTGAGTTCTATCCGGATCCTATCCTCTTGTAATTTTTTATTCAAAAAAATATACAAGTATGTGTATGTATCTATGTATATATATTTATATATTTTGCATATGTATGTGTATATTTACCACTAATATTATATATATATATATATATATATATATATATATATATATATATATATATATATATATATATATATATATATATATATATAACTTTATTATTAGTGTTTAAGCCTTTTTATTATATCCTTACTCTGTCCTAGACATTGAGTTCTACATGGATTCTTCCTCGTTAAATTTTTTTTCTAAAAATATACACGTATGGGTATTTATATATTTTGCATATGTATGTATATTTTCCACTAATATTATCTATCTATCTATCTATCTATCTATCTATCTATCTATCTATATATATATATATATATATATATATATATATATATATATATATGTGTGTGTGTGTGTGTGTGTATGTATTTCTACTAGGTCAATTTCTATCCAAGGCTATGGAACCCAGTCTGCCCTGCTAATTAACCATAGCTGGAGGGAGAAGATGATTTCCAAATAGTTTAAATGATGCAGAACTTTACTTACCATGACGCTTTGAAAATCCTGTATCCGCTTTTCCCTACACTCCATCCTATCATCACAGTTTTGCAAACGACACATAAATAGCATTAAATACTTGACAGAGAATAGATTGCTTCAGCAAATCCTTGCTCAAACGACACTTCTAAATGCATTAGGTGGCAAGTTGCTAACCGCAAATAGCGATTGCAATCAGTTTCAAACTTGGAATGGTACATTCAGTTATACGAGAACAAGGACAATAAAAATGACCTTGGATGATTTCTATATCCACGTTTCCTATTAATACATTTCATTGAATCGCAGCATAAAAAATAAAAATCTCTCCATCAAATCCGTGCCTCGGTGAAGCAATCACGGTCCAATATTGCCAAATAATTACAAAATTCTGTGAATTTAATTCAGACACTTCCTGAACTATGTATTGCCATCCGCTCTCACTGCAGAGATCATGAGCATCATGATCATGATGATCATGATCATGATCATGATCATGATCATCTCCTTCACCCTACTCTCACTTCTACTCCTCTTCCTATTTCTTCCGCCTTCTTCTTTCGTCTTCTTTCTTCTTCCTTCATCCTATTTCTTCTGTCTTGTTTTTTCGTCTCATATCTTCTTTCTTCCTATTTCTTCTTCCTTCTTCTTCCGTGTCATATCTTCTTCTTTTTTCCTATTCCTCCTTCCTTCTTATTTCATCTTATTTCTTTTTTCCTTTTTTTGTCTTATATCTTATATCTTTCTATTTCTTCCTTCTTCCTCTTTCATCTTCCTATTTCTTCTTCCTTCTTCCTATTTCTTCTTCCTTCTTCTTCCAAATTCTTCTTCTTCTTCTTCTCTATCAAATTCCACCGGACAGCCTCCAAAGAGACGAAAGTAAATTTAATCTTTGCGGGACTAAATTCGGATTTTGCGTAGGACCAACAAGCAGGCACTATTTGAACAAGTAATTAACCCAACGAACATTTAAGAAAGCTGACTCTTTTCTTTTTCTTTTTTTTTTTTTTGACGGAAAATCGGAACAAAATTTAGGGGAAGAAAATAAAGGTAGAGAGTAGAAACGAAGGAAAAATAAAAAAGATGAAGGCCGTTTAAAAAAAACAACTGTTTTAATAATTAGAAATTCAAATATATTAAATGCATGAAGGATGGAAAAAGGCTAAAGAGGAATCGTTTAAAAGAGATTTTGAATGTTTTAATTTGAGGAGGAGGAAAACGGAAATATGAATAGAGAGAGTGAAATTAAAGAAAAAGAAAGAAAGAAAATCAGGAAGAAAGAAAAGCAGAAAGAAAGAAAGAAAAATCAAAAGATTTAAAATATAGAAACATGTCGGAAATTAGAAAGCTATACCAGATCGATAGATATATAAATATAGGCAGATTTAGATAGATATATTTAATTTTATATAGAAGAATAAGATTTTCTATTTATTAATCCGATTGATTTTGACAATTTTAAACGTTAGATTTGGGGTATTCTCTTTATATAGTTCCATTTCCATTTATTTATTAAACGGTATTTTTTTAATTATTTTCGTCTACTGGCCTGAATATTATCATTAAAGTACAAAATATGCATTCTCCGGCAAGATTCGAACAGGCTCACTTTTTTTTAAAATAAGATTTCCCGAATAATTAGACCGTTAGACGAAAAAAAAAAAAAATTAAAAACAAAACAAAAAAAATCTGTTTAATTAACAGACGGAGTGTCTTCTCAACTAAAAAAATAGATATATTGATAGATACGTAAGTAGGAATGAAGATAGATAGATATATATGAAGCTTGTGAGATAGATAGATAGATGTGTTGGAGAAGATAGGAGAGACGGCTTTATAGTAAATCCAATAAAAATAAAAACTACAGAGATATATATATATTTATGTATATATATATATATATATATATATATATATATATATATATATATATATATATATATATATGTATATATATATATATATATATATATATATATATATATATAATGAGAAAAATATATACTTTCTTAATATATATATATAGAAAAATTTCAAATTAAAAATTATAATGTTTTATTTTATGAAAGTATTTATTTATGTATATTATTTATATATATATATATATAAATAAATAAATACATAAAAAAAAAAACATTATAATTTTTAATTTGAAACTTTTTCTATATATATATATATATATATATATATATATATATATATTTCAAATTACATCCATACATGCATATATATAAACTATATATGTGTGCGTTGTTTAATTCAGAAACTAATAATTTACAAGAGAATTTAAAAACGAACAATGAATAGCAAAATAGTAAAAGAATGAAAAAATATTTATATGTGTCTGTACTTGTGTATGCGCGTGTGACTTGTATATATATATGTAGGTATATGTTTGTTTGTGTGGTTGTGTGTTTCCAAAAACATAAGAATGTGCCGGCGAATGAGAAATAGAAAAATAGTAATAGAATGAAATAAAAATGTTTGTTTGTGTGCCTGTGTTGTTGTTGTGCGTGTGGCGTGTGTAAATATGTATGTATATGTGTGTGTTTCCAAAAAAAAAAAAAAAAAAAAAGAATGTATAGATAAATGAAAAAGAAAAAGAAATTTGAAAATAATGAATGAAATAAAACCGATTTGGTAGAAGCGAATGAAAGAAACAGCGAATGATTTGTTTCTTTCAACAGAAACAGAAAGAATAAAACTGAACGGTGAATGAGCAACAGAAGGAATATTAATTCAATGATTAAGGAAATGAAAAGAAGAATAATTAGGGGAAAAAATACGGGGAGATGTGTGAAAAAAAAAAAAGGAAAATAAAACTGAAGAAAATTCCAAATATAAATGAACGCCATTTAAGAAGGCTTGAGTTAGACTGGAAGTGAAGTATTCATCCCTTCCCTTGATAATAACATATGTTTTCTTCTTGTATTCGTTGCTGTTTATTTTCTGTTTTAGCCACCAATTCTGAAGTGTCTGTACGTGCTCCACATAATGACACTTTTTTCCCGGTTAATTGAGACGACATTCTGGCAGTCCACGCTTCTCAACTCTGTAGACCTGATTCAAACAAACGCGATTTAATTAATTGCCTTCCAACCTGAGCATCGCATCACATCACCATGGTGGGAATTACTGGCTAATAACTTCAAGTTTCACAGTTCAATTATTGACATCACTAAATAATAAATGATTTTTATTACTTTCTCGAAAGAAATTATGCACGATTTTACGACTTAACGAAAGATTTCTTCCGATGTAGAATTTACGAATTCTATCCCAATTTAACTCAATACTGAAATTACGACGATTCTCTTTGTGAATATATTTTCAGGCGAGATTCATGGATGCTTGTTATGTAAAGTAACATATATATATTGGCCAGGAAGAATGTTAAGATGTTAAATAGGTTATATGATATTCCTTTCTCGAATACTATTCATAATTAACACTGCTTGTTTCTGAATAATCACACTCCAATAACACGTCATGGTCTGTCGTATTTCGTTATGCGCTGAACTGTTTAAACTTGCTGTCACGCTGAAAGAATTTACCGCCTAAAAAATTAAGCTTCCAATTACTCCAAAGGAACAGTTACAATAAATGACTCTAGTAACTAACAAAATAATAACTAGAATTTGTAACAACGAAATCACTTAATGCACTATGATCGAGGCTTACGTCGATATCAGTTTGAAATACCGGTTCTCCTACTATCAACGAGGTTAAGAAACGCCGAGCCTGGTCAGTACTTAAATGGATGACTACTTGTTAATACCAGATGCTGAATACTTGGATGTGCGGTTGGTGTAATGAATAACTGCTCGGAATTGGAAGTCCGAGAGCCGAGTTCTACTACCAGTTTCTTTTCTTTTTATTCACTAACGCGGTAAATCTTCATCATTGGAAAAAATCGAAATAACTTGTTACAGTTTGATAAGCCGTAAAAAACGCAAATCAGTCCATCGCCAATGATTATATATTCTCAAATATTCCCATATTAATGACATGTCCTGTACCAAATGCGAATAATTACACCATTTTTGTAATCTCACTAATTAGTATTTTGATATAGTTTCCTAATACCTGTTTCACAAGGTGTTATTTCTTTTACAGTGCAGTGAGTAGAACCAAATGTTACACAGTATGTAGCGAAAATATTTTACGGATTTTAAAACTTAAGAAAAACAAAAATTCTTTAGGAACTGTTGTGTCTGAAACCTACCACCCCTCTTGAAGATGAACTTGTCCGCGTCTGCGAACAAAGACTTTAAATAGTGGCATGTCAGTTGATATGGGAGAAGACAGAGAGGGTAAGACCTCTTCGAGTCTAGCTGAGTCGTGATACAGTCTTTGACTGTAAGCGACGTTCGTCGAACTCTGCGTTAGCAGAGAGGAACCTGACGAGGCTTTTTCGAAGGGCAAGTTTTCGGCCGGGGAGGTAGATTTTGGCCTGAACCCCGTCTAGGCGGGTTCAAAACTGTTTTATATTTTGGCCGAGCCTACGGGCTCGAGATACCCACATTAAACCGGCCTTGTGCCATATTCAATCCTCATGGGTGGATCGATAAATACTAAGATAGATAGACAGAGAAGTTCTTAGCTGAGCTAGTTATTGACTACTCAGGCGATTCTGTAATTTTTGTAACCTATTAAAACCCTTTTTATTGTTACGTGTTATTTGGCGTTTGTCTCTACTAACCCCATCACAACAGGAACCCATTTAAGCGAGATTCAATCTTTAATTATTCTAGAAACAGTGGGTCCATCGCCAAGACTTTATTTGCTAAAAGTCGATGTTAAAAAAATAACAAACTGAATATCTTGAAAACATTTACAACTCCTCAATGATCTTCTGTCTATATTTCTGAGATGAGGTATTGTAACTATTTACATTGTTCAGACAGTTATCCTCATCTTTATTGTCAAATTCACAAAATATCGGCTATTGTACGCTCCAGCCTTCTCCAGGATCTGTATTCATTTCTGAGATGAGGTATTTTAACTATTTACACTATTTTCATCGTTTGGACTGTTGTCCTAATCCTACGTATATCACCTGAAGAATGCTGGAGGGTACAACGGCCGAAACATCGTTAATATGGCAATAAAGATGAGGAAATCAGTCCAAATAATGCAAAACGGGTAAATACTCACTACTGATATTCCTCGAGAGAAATCAATAGAGTAAATGATATGCTAAACACCCAACACGCGCTAAATTTTTGAGTGTAACTTAGACGTGGTATAAGGCCGAAAATATGGAGAAATAAATGAGAATCGAAGTCACTATTCAATCGTAACTGATTTAGTGTGATATGTTTGCTAACGTCGATGCTTTAGATGCAGCCCGTGGCCGAAAGTATGGCTGACCCTGTGAGGATCGACGTTACTACTCATTCGTAATCGTTCTTGCGAGACAAGATTGCTAACCATTACACCACGCTGAGGTGCCCAAATGATTTTCTAAGGGAAAGGCAGAAAGTATATGGCACCCAGTGAGAATCGAACTCACTACCCTGTGGTAATTGTTCTAGTGAAACAAACTTACTATTACACCACGCCGAGGTACCAAAATGATTTTCTAAGCGTAGCTTAGATGTGGCTCTAAGCCGACAGTATGGAAAACCCAGTGAGGATCGAACTCACTTCTAAATTGTAATTGATCTCTGGAAACAAGCTTGCTAACCCTGGCATCATGTCTAAGTAGCCCTTAAAATGCAACATTTGTTTAATTTTTTGTGGAGAATGTGTCTGCTAGGTGTGGGTAGATAATATGTCCTTATGAGTGTTCTGTTTTATCAACTTCAGGGATAAGTCATCATTAAAACTGTTATCCGATTTAGAAGATGATTAATTAACAAAAACAAAAACGAAGCTAACACGTGCAGATTAACTAGTTATAGAATGAAACATTAACATTTTCTAAAGCCAAAAACGAGAAGGGCTTAAAAATAAAGTAAACACATCAAGTATCGGCGAAAACTAAAACAAATATTAACTGACTAGTTGACATAAAAATCAGTCTTCCTCGACACATGAGCATGCAAATCAAGAAATGGGCTCATCATTTCCCGACAGGTTTTTCGGTACGATTCTAACAAGAAAATAGCCTTAATTAAAAAATAAATAAATAAACTGCGACGGGAAAATTTTTAATTAAATTATTACTAAATGTTGAGTAATATTAATAATCAAATCATAACAAATAAACATATTTTAACTTCGTTTTTTTTTCCTCTTCTTGCACTCACACACACAGATGCGCGCGTGCAAACACACACACATAGTAACACAAACTATGAGGACTGTTGAAAAGTTCTCGGCTTAGTCAAGATGTGTTTATATTCATTTGCTCAGATGTTGATAAATGTGTTGGAAAAAGAAACATCTGAACACTTCCTTGGAAACATAACCTTGGTAGTTTCAATTCAATGTATTCAAAGCTCTGGATCTTTCTCCTGAAGACGTTTGCATATTTGCAAGTTGAAAACGCAGAAAATAATCAAATTCAGTTTAATCAAATGATGTTAATTCGGAAACTCAAAATCGAAGTTTTGTTTATTATTTGAAATAAATTATCATTCAAATTTCTCCACAAAATAGCAAATCTGCGTCAAACCATCATAAGCTGAAGTATTGTGACGCGCTAGGAAATTTTTCTACCCGGAATCGATCCTCCAGATCTACAAATCAACAATTCGCCCTTGCATGGAGTATTGCTGCCATATATGGTCTGGAGCCCCTTCTGTTTGCCTCGGGGTTCTTGATAGGCTCCAGAGGCGGATATGCAATATAATTGGCCCTGTTCTGGCATCTTGTCTACAGTCACTTTCACACAGACGCGCCGTCGCCTGTCTCTATCTGTTTTATAAATACTTTCATGGCAATATCTCTGAGGAGCTGCATTCGCTGGTTCCCAGACTTCATGAGTTCAAGCGCCCTATGAGGCTGGCATCCCGCTCTCATCCTTTCACCCTTTCACAATCTCTTCTACTCCAATAGCTTCATGTCTCGCACCTCTCGCCTGTGGAACTACCTTCCCTATTCCAGTTTCCCTGAGAGCTATAATCTTCAGTTATTCAAATGTAATGCCAATCGACATCTCCAGTTGTCTTGATCTATCCACTAACCTTCTCCTCATCTTTTTTTCTATCACTCCTATCTGATCTTGCTCCAAATTTTCTGTAACCCCTTGCGTCCTAGTGGCTCTTCCGCCTTGCTTGGGGTGAAACGCTTAAAAAAAAGTCTTTGCACACTTCTTAAATTGTATTATTGAGAACGTATTTTCAATAAGTTGTAAAAAGTTTTGATTTTTTTACGTATGGGTAAAAAATTCTCTGCTTACGTAATTCCGTTCACTACAAATTTTCATTCTCATCACCCTTCTCTTCATTCTGCTGTCTCTCTCTCTATATATCTATCTATCTATCTCTCTCTCCTTATCTCTCTATGTGTATATATATATATATATATATATATATATATATATATATATATATATATATATATATATATATGATCATTTCATTCCAAGCAAGTCAATTAACCGACTAAAAAGCAATTGGTTAATGAGTGTGAGGAAATATGAGAAAATGACAAAAATTTTCAAAAGAAGAAACAATAAAATGTGGGAATTAAGAAGACGGAAGTTAAGAATGGACATTGTATTTAATTTTTTAAAGATCAAAGTTGACTGGAAACTATGAAGCCGCAAAACAGTTCTACAACCGAGAAATCCGAAAAAAGCGCAATATTAAATTTAAATTCATAAAGTTTAGTTAACAAAGAGGAAAGATCATCATAATTATAAGGAAATTATTTCTAGAACTACGTAAGAAGGCTACGTTACAGAGATTGGAAAGTGGCTTAAACCGAGATGCTAAATCAATACAAGAAATAAGTTATGTGACTGACTTTTTACCTAGCACCTCCACATCAGTTAATTTTCAATCAATCTATGGTATCTTCAATGAGCATTTCCTATGAATAACTATATATATATATATATATATATATATATATATATATATATATATATATATATAATTCATTTCATTGAATACGACAGACAACGTGCTTTTATTTAGTTTTTCCACAATTTCTCAGGCGATCTATTTTTTTTTTCTTTTCTGATGATAAATTATATAAAAACTGTCTTAATGTTCTTGCTATCCAAGCGCTTTCGTCTATACATTTAGCCATTTTTCAAGGATTAATTATTTTAATTATTAAAAAAGAAATGAAAACATTTTATAAAACATACATACAACAAACTATTTCTTATTTAACAGTTAAAATATTTTATCCTTGAAAATGGATAAATGATAGCCGAAAGCGCTCAGATAAAAATAACTTTCGGACAGTTTTTATATAATTTATCATCCGAAAAGAAAAAAAAAAGTTATTAGATCGCATGAGAAATTGTATAAGAAACTAAATAAAAACACCTTGTCTGTTGTATTCAAAGATGTGAACATGAAAGAAGGATTGCTGCCTAAATACACACACTCTCTCACACACACACACACACACACACACACACACACACACATATATATATATATATATATATATATATATATTTGTATGTCTACTGACAAAATATTTTTATTAATAAAAATATAGATTTATAAAGATTATATATATATATATATATATATATATATATATATATATATATAAACATACATACATATATTTTTTTTTTGTGCACATACGCATATTTATTAAATAATTTCTATATAGATATAAAGATTAGCTCATATATATATATATATATATATATATATATATATATATATATATATATGAAAGGAGAGAGGGAGAGAATGATGACAAAAATGTCTCTTGATCTCGATACTGATAATATTTAAATTCCAGTTAGTGAAAGAAACGCCGAAAACTATTCCAGCAAAAACATATAAATAAAAACACAGACATGAAATTTGAACAACTTCTACAAAGTTTGCAGCCAGGTGTGTAAAAACATATTAGAAAATTAGTAATGCGCTTAATGAATTAAACAGACAAGCCATTTCGGTTGTAGTTAATTACACCTGTTTAAACGAATACTTGCTGCTTTGATTTGAGAGTCTTAATTAAGTAAACGTGCCTTCCGGGAACGTTCAAACCTACGCACAACTTGTAGACGAAAACAGACGTTAAACAAGCCGTGCATTCGTTGATCGAGCTAAGGCATTAAATATAACATTTAACGTATTAAGAAATACATACGGATTAAAAAATACAATGCATTGGCTCACGAAAAATATATTTTTCTTGTAGGGGAAAAGATTGAAGAGGATAACATAAATTGCTTGATAATATCCTAATCTGATAAATTCGACATGAGCAAAATACATCAAAATTAATTTCATATACACCCTTGTGCAAATCAATTGACTTAAATCGAATAATTCCGTTATTATTTACTATTTTTTCGTATTTTTCCAATGAAACATGACCCAGCCCACATGTTAGCATTTCGTATGTCAACTCCACGAAGTCGTTCCTTGCAGATTAATCACAGATTCAGAGTTTCCGGAACATTGGAAAGTTTTTGGAACTTTGATTTGCTCGCTGGTAAGGCTTGCCAGTGTGCTCGTGCAGCGTTACAAATTTTCGTACGCTTCCTTGGAGTAACGTCTGTTGCGGCGTTAAGCAGGTTGCCTGTTAACCCCGCAAGCAGAAAAATGATATAGGGTAATACGATCGAATAAACAATCGGACAACAAAGACGAGGATGTAAAAGTTTTAAAAATTTTATTAAATAATCTGGCAAAAGCGTATATACAGATAATTGTTTGCTGGAGTTCGGTCGTGTAGTTAGAAAGGATGTCAATTGAAGGGGCGTTGTCATGTTTCAAAGCGACAGCTCGGAGGTTTGCTTTTAATGGAACAGCGATGTTCGCATTCCAGTCGATCCCCGGATGTCTGCACTTTGTCCAAGGCGCGTCGGCGTTTAAATGGATCGACGCAGACGGTTCTTTGGACTGAAGCTGGTCGGCCTGCTGCTGCTTAAATTTGGGTCGACCTGCTGCTGCTGCTGAAAAATAGCAAAAATTAATGCTGCTGCTGGGTCGGCCTGCTGCTGAAGCTGGTCGGCCTGCTGATAGGTTTGGCTGCTTCGTGTGGTCAGCGAAGGTGAGAGGGGGAGCTCGTCGCTCAACCTCGAGGCAAAAATCCGCCGAGTTGTGGAGATTTATTTCGTATAAATACAAAATTGTGGCACAAGGCCGAAAAAGGTGGAGGGTAAAAAGCTGGTCTTCGCTATCTATCTTATACCTAGCTAATCTGATTCACGACCCATTCAGACATTACAATTTACTCATTCACCATAAGAACTCGTCCGTCACCAATCAATCCTCCATGCACCATAATACCACATCCACTCTAGGGAGACCTACAAAACGCGCCTAGTGTCATAATAATTTAATGATACTAACACATATGGACAAAATTCTAAGATGAAAAAAGAGAGGGGGGGAGATGAACCCAATAACGAACCAAAATATTAACACAAATCAAATTAAACGTTAACTGATGTTAGTAGGGTCAGTCCAACCCTCAAAAGGCAGGGAGGCCACTGTATTCTGCCCATTAAATCCGCTGAGTTGTGTCTGGTGGAAGAAATCGGCTGTGTTTATATATAGGCTTAGGCTGTCAACGTAGCCGGTTAGCGATATCTTTGGGGTAATGACTGAAAAGTCCTTCTAAAAAGTGTTGTATCATGGGTTTCCTTCGGACACCATGTGTATATAAAAATAAAAAACTTAATTATTTTTTAATTAGGAAGGCCCATGTATGTAAATGTTTCGTTTGTTTTGATTTTGTGTGAGTCGTTGACTGAAAAACTCTGAGTCACCGGAAGTTAACGGCATTCGTTATGTTTTCCGTGGTGACGCTTTTATACGTTTGAGAAGCCGGCAGTAACTTCCGGCCGGGTGCGATACGTCCATCGCAGACAATGGCTGTAGAGCAACTAATCGACAGTCGAGTCAATAGTGTCTGGGCGTGAAGAAAACCTGATGCAATCACGGATGACGCAATATTTTTCAAGGCCAAACAAATTCGATCATCCACCCGAAAAGAGATGCATATTAGTGCACACCTCTTCAAATGACGTAATCTGAGTAAAACATAGAAATAGATCACACACTGCCACTCCACGGAGTCTAATTCTGATTGTATGCTGAATGAAATTAAACTAAAGCGGTTGTTTCATTTAATTTGTACAAGGGTGTAAATAAACTTTTCTTAAAGTCTTCCCTTCAAACTATATAAAAAGAAGTATATTATCACTTCCTGAATCATCTGAAGAAGGCTGGAAGACTCTACGATCGAAACGCTGTCATAATGAAAACAAAGATGGCAACAATAGAAACAATGGAAGCAATATAAATAAGAAAATAGAATTTTTCCACGCAGTGACGCATTATCATTTGGACAATTTTCCCGTGAGGAAATAAAACTATAAGCGATTGTTAGAAAGTTTTAATATTGAGACGGAATGAAACAATAGTTTTCATATAATGTATTGAGATTCCGTGAAATGTATGTAGATCCAGATTTCACAAAAAAAAAAAAAATACAGGCCAATGAACCTTTTCATTTATTCGTTCCCTGAATATTACAATTCTTAGACCATATTTATATTATATTTCATTTTTAAGTAACAAGCCTATCATTTACATGTAACTACTTATAATACAAAAAAGAAGGTCCAGAATACAAAACTTAAACAGGAGCCCCTAATTTGTTTACACAATTAGTTCATTTATAACTACGTTTCTTGTAATGACATTTTTCAAAATATTTTTATCTTATTTACATTATTTAAATAATCCGTACTGTTATCCTTATCTTCATTGCCTTATTCACAACGTTTCGACCGTTGTATACTCCGACCTTCTTCAGGTGATTGGAATTTCAAACCGAACTCTTTATTTTATCCAACGGGGTAGGTTTTTCTAGTTCCACGTGCCATTCCTCTTCCGGATGTCTCAGTCATTTCCCTTTAACTCAACTCTCCGAGATTTTTGGTTCATCCACTGGGTCATGTACTCTCAAGAACACGTGCCCATTGGATAAAGACGTTTGTTATATCCAGAGATTAGACCGAAAGAATTGTGAGTTCAATACCAGGCTACAACAATGTTGAACTAAAAAAGTAGTAGACGTGTATCCTCTAATAAGAGTGACCAGATATTTTTATTATTATGTATGTATATAATGGACTAACTCGGCCTTTTCGTCGTATAAGGGTCAAGCACTTCAGTTCTTAGAATCAACAGCCAGGCTACTTGCACATATCATTTGAGTATAGTGCTGAAGGCTTGTGCAGAACCAACCACACTTTTAGAAGAACCGAATACAGGAAACTGTTGCACAATATGCAACAAGGTTCCCAAAGAACATTTGTAATAACTGTTGTCCTTCTTCTAGATTGGATGCCACAAGGGCTATAAAATCCTTTACGTTCTGTTATTTACCTATATTTTGTTGGGTGGGGGAGAGATGTGCTCAGACTTTCCCTAAAACGTAATGGGATGTAATGAATTAAACTGGAATTCGAAGTCGGTTCTCCAAATCCTCTAGTCTAACCACAAACCAGCGTCTGTCTCTCTGTCTCTCTACATATATATATATATATATATATATATATGTTTACACATATATTGCTAAGTTAAACCCAATGTTAATTGACATATATACATATGTGCGTGTGTGTATGTTTGTGTGCGTGTCTGTGTGTATATGTGTGAGAGTGAGAGAGAGAGAGAGAGATGGGGGAAGATAAGAATTGTGTACTAACAAGTCTGTCATCTGGTTTCGTGCTTAAACTGAAGTCTGAAATCAATCAAACTTTATTTACATCCCTTCCATTATCAAACAATACTTAAAAGTTCCCCGGCGACTAGAGGGTTTTAACTACTGCACTTACTGACTTCTCAGCATCAAAGTGTATTGGAACTCTTAAAAATTGAAGAAAAAGTAAATAATTATAACATATAACGTATTTTCTCTTTTCCCTTTTCTTAATTCTTGTTCATTCCGAAAAAGGCAACTTTGACTGCGAAATTCGTGCCTACTTAACGAAAGAATTACTTATCTGGATTAACAGAGAACGGCATGAGATTTTTTGGGGATGCAGGCTTTGGCGGTATAGTATATGTATCATTTACCTTTATCCACACACACACACACACACACACACACACACACATATATATATATATATATATATATATATATATATATATATATATATATATATATATATAAAAAACGTGAGATGTCTAATGAAAGAAGAAAATACCAATTCGGAATCTTTCTTTAGTCTTTTAGGGAATAGAGGAAAATGTTTGTCAATAATGACTGCTATTCCAGTACAAGTAATATTGAAAGATAATGATTCGCAATTAAAGAATAGATGAAAATTATTTGTAAGCCTAATTTTCCTGCATTTGAATGCGAGTATAAAATAATTGGCTACCAACAAGTAAAGTAATCCATTTCAACTTCTTTGAAATCGGTATTTAAGATATAAGCATGAAATTCGTTCAGAACACCGAATATATTTTCTTGTAGGAATTGCGACCATACCTTGGCTGGAGCTGGCCAATTCTCAGTTTTCAGCCTTCAATGAATTCAAATTCTTCTGAGCAATGATATATTATACTGAACAGAAAAGATGGAATAAACCTCTAGTCCTGTTCAAACATCCGGGGAGTATTGTGAAGGGAATGACAGGTGAAACAATTTAATCCTATTGAGAAAAAAAATAGTGAGTTAAATTGTAGGGTTTAGACGGAGGCGTTAGAAGTAGAGACTTGAAGTAGAAGGAACCGGAAACCGAATCCAAAACAGGAAACACGTGATAAATGTCTACATTTGTAGAAAAGATCGTTTAGGAGTGCGAACAGAATGATATTATGATGGATAAACAGAATATACGTGCGTCAGTTGTAATTTATCGTAAAAAAGACTGAGAAGTAATCACTAAACAAAAGAATGAGTCCAAGATTAAAACTACAAAATAGGGGACACCATAATGAAACAAGTAAAACATAGAAAGCGAGAAAGAGAGAGAGAGAGAGAGAGAGAGAGAGAGAGAGAGAGAGAGAGACGTGCCCACTCTCTATTCAACCAGTCGGCCAGTGAAAGATGAAAAGAACGAAAAATGCGATATTGAAATTCAAAGTTCTATTGGAATGTCGAACAAGGCCTTCCAAATCTAAGTAAAGTATTAAGAAGCAAAAAAATGTTAGAAACAACGAAAAAGTTACTGGACTTCTGTGCAATATCGGTTCTCCTATATGACATGTGGATGCTGGACAACATCTTCACAGGTGAAGACTAGAGGTGTCAGGAATGTGGTTCTACAGAAGGCTGCTGAGAAATCCACTGGCTGATCATGTGAGTAACAATGATGTTTCAAGCTGTGAAGAAGACTTGTAGTCCAAACCCTTTCGAATGCTTTTGTGATGTCCAAAGCAAGAGCCTGAGCTTCACTAGTCTTATTTAGAGCTTATCTAGATTCTTCCCTCAATTATCAGTACATCAGCAGCTGACATAGATAAGCGAAAATCATACTGCTTGTCAGAAAGGATGCCCGGAAGTTATAAGATGGTTAATCAATACAGCATTAATAAGGGTTTCTGTTGTTGGGTATTGTTTAGCGACATATCAATTTCTGTGGGAATTGTATGCCTTCAACTACAGATAAAACGTATTTCTTTTTAGTTTACTATAAATATGTATTGTTGGTAATTTTTCATATGAATTGGTATTGCTGGTAATTTCACTATAAATGAAGTTTTGGTAATTTTACTACAAATAGGTAGAGTTGGAAATTACACTACAAATATGTATTATTGGTAATTTTGTATATAAAAGTGCATTCCTGGTATTTTTTGCAGTAAAAAGGTATTTTTTATATTTTCATAGTGTTTAGGTATTCACTATTTGGCGAT